CAAATTCCTTCAGTATTATTATTATTAACAATGTTCAGCTTCTTCCACTGTTTCTCACATTCATTCTTGATGGAAAGGCAGGAACTATGCTTCTTAATATCTATAATTGTTCTGATGCTTCATGTAAGAGATAGCGAAAATCCTTGGAAATAGCATCTATTGTCAGAAACCTAGTCATTTGGGTACAGTGTTTAGAGATAGAAAATGTCCTATGACAAATGAGCGCTAGAAAATAGCATAAAACCTGGGGACCAAATGGAAAGCACCAAACATTTCTAGGTCTAAGTATAACTGTAGATGAAATAGAGGACAAAGATGATGAGCTCTACGCTGCAGTGAGGAAGGGCTTTGGACTCCCCCAGACCCAAGGTCAAATCCTGCAACCACTTGTAATCAGCTAGGTGACTCTGAGCAGGTTGTATGGTCATTTGAAGAATATTTACTCATATCTAAAATTGAGACCATGATAACTCAGGATTATGGTGATTTGTTGAATGAGATAATGCGCATAAAGTACCTGGTACGATATCTGGCACACAATTGTTTAGGAACGATTGGTTCTTTTCTTAAAACTTCCTAATTCCTCAAAAAGGAATATGAAGTTTAATTTTTTTTTTCCTCCAAACCCCTATCATTTCAGGAAATATCTCTTGCTGACCAAAACCAAAATCAAAACACACATATATACACCAAAAAACCAAAACCAAAATCCCCAAAGAAACAGAAAACAAACAAATAAATAAATACCAAAGGAGGGTACCCCATTCTTTGGTGCAGGATCTTGACTCCCACCTTCCAGTGGAGTAGAAGAAGTGTTAACTTTCTTATTTTTCCAACGTGACTGACAACCAGTTCATCTAGGTCTTTCTAATTGTTGGCTTTTCTTTTTCCTTGGTAATGCCAGATAAATGTCCCCTTAAGAACTCTCTCCCTGCACACATACACACCATTCTTGTCCCTGTCCAAATGATTGGAGTGAGTTGGATCCCATTTCCTGGTTCTAGGGTTAGGCATGGACAAGTATGACAAATAAGTTTAAGAATATCTTTTTTTCAAACTATTAGAAAGAAATTATTTTTCTTAAGCCGGGGTCCCTATCTGAAAACATTTCATACAAGAAATAGTCTGACATAGAGGAACCAAGGGGCATAGCATGCATACATATATATACACAGAGTGTAAACAGTTGTGAACCTGAAAAAATCAGTCTTAAACAGGGATCTCTGGTGAATAATCGGGCTTATATTTAAAACAAAGCCAAGACACTATTTACTGACTAGAGGCCCCATGTACTCTGAGTTCCAGAATATCCACACCTCCAGGCAAGTTGAGACTTCCAGAGATGCCCTGAACCAAACAATCAAGGCTCAGCTGTGTTAAACAATCACAACAGAGTAGGTTTGTCTTTTTTATTTCCATAAACAGACCTGATTGGGAGACTGGACAGGAACACTTGCTGTAAAACTAAGCCCTCCCTTTGTTCTCTGCAACTGCCTTTGTTTTATACCAAAGGCTGTATCTCCCCAGTTTGCAAAGTGTTTATTGAAATAAAGTCTCTTTCCTCCAAATTCCCTTTCAGAGAACTTTTGTTCACAACAGGGGGACAAACAAGAATCATCTAAGCCAGCCTCACTTCAGGGGATCATCGAAGCTTGCCAGGAAAGTCTGTGTGAATGAGTAGGAAAAAAATGCAGACAAAGCATGCCATCAATGGAAAGGACAAAGAGGCATGTGGAAAAGAGCTTTGAGGTGTTGGAGATGGACAGAAATTCATAATGGGTGGAGACACACATTGTATGCCAGGATCTCACAATCCATTAGGTTGTAAGATCTCACATAATTTGTTTAGATTTATTTTTAAACAAAAATCTCTTAACTATAAAAATAAGTTGCAATGTCAAGGGCAAATCAATACTGCAGATAATAGGAGACTTAACTTATGAGGAAGGAGAGTTGAAATCTTTGAATAGTATGCCAATTCAAGGAATTAAGATGTAATAAAATTATAAGGCTGTGCAGTAATGTGTAAGATGTATTACCAGTGCAAGGGATCCGAATTCTTAGTAGGAAAAGAAAAACATACATCCTTACTCATATAATTTTGATTAAACTATTCTCTTCTGTGTATATAAAATGCTCCCTGTTCTCTGCTTCCAATCTGCGTTTCTCTTTATTATTTGAGACTATTATGGGGAGTTCAAATGTTTGGTTACATGGATTGCTTTTGTACTGCTTGAGTGCCTGCCACCCAGACAGTATACACTGTAACTGTTAGGTGTGATTTCACTCATCACCTTCTTCCATTGAATTTTACTTCCATTGATGCACATACATGATGATCAGTTACTTCCAATTTAATAGCAAGTACATGTGGTGTTCGTTTTTTCATTCTTGTGATAACTTCACTTAGGAGAATGGTCTCCACTTCCATCCAGATTGTTGTAAAAGGTATTTCTTTTTGTAGCTGAGTAGTACTCCATGGCATACATATGCCACCTTTTATTAATCCACTCATGAATTAATGGGCTAAATATTTTAGTGAAATGTCTTTTCAGTAAAGTCACTTTCTTTTTCTTTGCATAACTACCCAGTAGTGGAATTGCTGGATCAAGTGGTTGGCCTACTTTTAGTTCTTTGAGGAATATCTTGCTGTTTTCCATTGAGGTTGTACAGTTTGCAGTTCTACAAATAGTGTTGTAAGTGTTGCTTTCCCTTCTTTAAACTCTGTCAGACACCCCCTGTGAGGAGTGATAGGTATGTTCCTATTACCTGTGCCCACCCCACCATTATGATTCACATATTCCACAAACGTGGCTCCATGTTTTTCTTTATTTATACACATTAGTCTAGATACTAAGAAACTTACCCTGAGGGAAAGACACTCTGTACTTGGAAACCATTCAGTAGGAAATCTCCAGGCCCAGCCTTACCTGTGCTTCCTAAAATGCATAATTTCCATTATCTGTATTGTGGCCAATAATCACTTCTTCCTCTGTGATATTGTCTTGACGAATATGTATTGATTTTAAATTTTATTTTAGGTTTCATACTGGGCACAGGAATGTTGTTTAAAACAGAGACAACATCTAGATAATTTTCACTCTAATATATTGTCTCTTACATAAAATTATTATTTTTATCATGTATTGCTATTATTGTGAACAAATGCTATGGTAAAAATGAGCATGGATTTTGGAGACAGGCAGTACGGGGTTCATATTGGAGCTCTCACACTGAAACATCTGTAAACCTTAAATATTTATTTAACCTTTTCTAGTCTCAGTTTTCTTACTTTAAAAATGGGAATGGTAATACTGACTTCATGATAGATAATTAAACAAGGCACATAAACTGCTTCCTCATACAAAAATAAGGCACAGATACCGGCTTTAACCACTTGCTACTTACCTGAGTATCCCTGGAGGACAGCAGCCTTTGGGGGTTTGATCTAAATATCTTTCCAAGCACCCAGCTGATGCTTGAGTCCTAAGCCAATCTAAGGGATTCAAAATGAAAAGATGAATAGCAAGGAATATACTCCTGGAAGAAGTAACCTAGTCAATGACATTTTTGAATATATGGGAGTATTGAGAACACATTGGAGAATTAGAAGAGTGAGATGCCAAATTAAATCAAACTTCACTGTTTGGCCAAAGTATATTTTTATCTGTGGTAAGCTTAAATAAGAATCTGACCTGCTTTCTATTGTTTGGTGGAGGGAAGAAGTGGCACTTGAGAACCAAGATCAGTGCCTGATTACAACCTAGAAACCAGATGTGGCAGTGAGACTATTTTCTGAAGCCCATGCTGTTCCCAGCTGGGTCACACATCCATGATGGGGAGAGTTGGTTTGACATGAAAGTTGGAAGCTTCAGATCCGCAGCATGTCTCAAAGAACTGTGATGTCTGTCGGGAGGTGCTCTAGTCCCCTCAACTACAATCTCCCTAAAATCAATCTCTTCCCAGGTGCCCCTGATGCTACAGTTAAATGCTTCCTATAGCTAGGGAAATTACATGGCACAGAACTAATTACAGGTTATAAAAATAGAAAGAGAACAAGGAGGAAGCTCTAGAATAACTCCTGAGTGGACAGACGAAGGAGTAGACCCGAGCTAATTGGCTTCTGACAACATTCTCTACAGGGTCTCCAGGTAGTCTTTTATTTTAATGAGTGTTTGCCAAGATTAGAGGCTTCTTAAAGACCCCGGATACAGTGAGGAATGGCAGAGGAGAATAAACTCTTTAATAAGACTTGAGGTTTTTGGATTCAAACAGAATATGATCTAAGAAGATACAGTGCAATTCAATTTTAATTGTTTTACTTACTCAGCTTTTCCTGTAACTAGGAACAAGTGGTCTTAGTTACACCTAACAGGTAATATGAAGCTGATGCTCAGAAATATTTGCTATTTCAATCAATTCTTAGATAAAAATTGAAGTGTCCCAAAACCTAAACTCGAGACTCTACCTATAATAACCCATAGCCTGACCATAAATAAATGCTTGTTGTTTTAATTCCTTATAGAACTTGCGTTGAATTCTCTCAGCATTCTGATTTGTTCTAATCTGTTTAATCAGATAGCCCATCAAACATATATATAAAGCAGAGATACTACCCTGAAGACCTTCTTACCCTCTAGTTGTCCTAATGTTAGTAAAAGGTACTAAAAAAGATAGCTAACAATATATACCAAATCAGATGACTTGTAGAAAGTGCTTGTGTAGAGATGAGCATAGTTTGTGATTCTAAGGGAATTTTATCAAAGGACATGGCATTTAAGTGGTATCTTTTAGATAAGTGCAATTTAGATGGATAGAATAATGGAGTAAGGTTTAGAAGCTTGGATAGAATTTCGACTGATGCAGAATCTTCAATGGTGGACTAAGAAAGATTGGTTTGGGTAGATCAGATTTGGGGCTGAGAGTGTTAGATTTTTATTTCCTAGGTAATATAGAGAGTCATTGTTCATAGGAGGAACAACTTTTTTTTTTTTTTTTACATTGTTTAAGTCTATGTAATGGCTTGTCTGATGACAGAAGGGAGAGCACTGGACTAGGTTAGCTTTATTGCAGTAGCAAGCTCAAATTTTGTCAAGACACTTTTGATCACATGTCCCAGAGTGTTTCTTGCAGGGAGGAACAATTCTGGAAGATAACTGTGACTTAACTGTGCTAATCATGGATTAAAATGGAGAAACTGAAGTTGGGCCTTCATTTCACAAGAAGGCCCTCATGCATCACAGAGAGGACAGCAGCACCTCATGCTCTTCAAGGGTTCTGCATCTGCTTGTTTTTTTGTTTTGTTTTTTTGCCTGTGAAAACTCATGCTTATTGAACACATGGTAAGCATGCACAAATATTCAAAAGGTGGAGAAATTGGTTTAAAGGAAAGAGTGCTGGATTTAAAAAGAAGGAATTGGTTCTATTTTTTTTTTTTTTTTTTACTATTTGTTGTGTGCTGTCTATGTAAGCAAGAGAAAATGGGATGCTCCTATGGGACTACTGGTGGAATTAATTGCCTTGCAGGCCTCGAGTTGGTGCTCCTGCTTTCCAGTGCCAAGGGTCTTCCCAGGTGATGGTGTTTATTTCCCGACTTCCGTTACCACCCACATAAGCATAATTTCTAAACTATGCCATCAGTCCAGATTTCTCCAAAATTCTAGATCATTTTATCTCGCTGTTTTCATGATTTCACAGACATCCCTAAATTAATACATCAAAATGAAAAGCAAATTTCCTTTCTTTCTTCCTCCTCTCCACTAAAGTCCCACCTCTCTCCTTTCACTCTTCATCTAATCAATAGTTCCATATAGTATATACTGTTGGGAATCACTCAAATTAAAAGGGAGATATGAAAATGTTTATAAAATTGTGTGATATTGGGCCAGGTGCGGTGGCTCATTCCTGGAGGCCAAAGTGTGTAGACTACTTGAGCTCAGGAGTTCAGAGGTCAGCCTAAGCATGAGCAACATCCTGTCTCTAAAAATAACCAGGCACTGTGGCCAGCACCTATAGTCCCAGCTACCTGGGAGGCAGAGGCAAGAGGATCAGTTGTGCCCAAGAGTTTGAGGTTACTGTGAACTGTGATGCCATGGCACTTTACCCAGAGTGACAAAGTGAGACTTTATCTCAAAAAAAAATTGTGTGATACTATGCAAAACACAATGTAGTAAAATGACACACAGTATCTACTAGAGATGAGCCAAGTCACCTGGAGGGAGTGATCCCTTCTATATGGCACAGGCGATGTTGAGCTCTCTGTAAAGTGAGAAGATGGACCCAGAACTGCAAGAATCCTACATTTGAAAAGAAGATAGAAAGCTATAACCCTAAATTTGAATTTTAAATATCTCAAAAAAGTAACTTGGGAAAAAATAAAATGTCTAGGCTTGAGAGATTTGTACCACATTTATAGAAAATTGTGTTACAAGGAGTCCTTAAACTGTAGGAAAAAGACTAATGCTATTGCATGAATCTTTGAAGTCACGTAAATTTTTGATTCTTCAAGTATCTAATAGGTAAAGTGATTTGACAAGAGGAATTTGATTGAGGTGTGCTCTCAAATCTCTGGACAACAACCCCAGTCTCAACTTTAAATCGTGAATTCTCCTGTTTAATACCAATGATCTTCATCTGTAAGCATCTTATTATGGTGTAGGAGATGGGAAATAGATTAAGACAAATGTGGGGATCCTTTCATATAAATTTTGATGAGTACTAGAAACCCCGCTTCCCTCTCAAATTGACATTGGTCTTTATACATCCAGGGAAGGAGTGGTTAGAACGTGGAAAGTCAAAATTCCAAAGTGATTTACTTGTCAGAGAATAGAAAAGACACAGACAACTGAGACTCTAGTTGAGGGAGTATTTGGCAAGAGCATTGGATCAGGTAAATGAAAGATAGGGTTTTAAGAACGGGTACTTTTGGTATACAATAACCTTAGAGGAAAGAAATTGAGGGTTTGGGAGTCTGGTGGGTGTTTTCAAATATCCAAAGAGCTGTCAAATAGGAAGCAAGATTGAATTTGTTCTTCTGACCTCAATGATAGATTAGCATCTGTGAGTGGAATATTCTAGGTCCATATTTGGTAGATGATCAGGATGCATTCTCAGAATAATAGGACTTCCTCCAAAGATGGTGACTTTCTATTGGTGGAGATATGTATATATTTGTTGAAATAGCTCTTGGTGGGAATGTTCCCAAATAGAGTTTAGCATTAGACATAGTAAGGGAGGAAAGGGCAATGAGTAGTTAGATCCTAAGCTTTTTCTGAGTCCATCAGATGCCCCCAGTCCAAGTCTAAGTACCCATGAAAATAATAAATAAGTTCTTCTTAAAGCATATTCTAGCCTTGTGATTATCTTTAAAAATATCCTATTTAGCATAAATAGCCAGACCAGTCACTGTGATAACTTTGTTTATATTATCTTCCTTTTATCTAATCCCTCTGGGGGTATTTTAGAATTTACAGATGAGAAAAGCAAAGATTCTTTGGCTTTTGTGGGGTTATGCAGCTTGTGTGATGGGAGTAGAATTTTTTATTTTAGAAAATTCTGACTTTAAACTCTTTAAGTCACTACACATACTGCTCACTGTGTGTGTGTGTGTGTGTGTGTGTGTGTAGAGCCTAGAAAACAGGGTGCTCATGGAAACTAGGGGAAACATAGACCCTCAGGAAAGTAATATCTGTGACAGGTTTGTGAAGTGGACACTTGAGGTTGCCAGGTTGCCAGCCTGCCTCTGTGATCTCAGCTGGCTTCTGTGAGTTAGGTAAAATTAATTCAAAGGGCAGGGAACAGACACAAAGGTGGGGAGGTAAAAGAAAAATCTGAGAAGAATTTAGTTTCAAAACGGAATAGTATTTATCCAATTAATGCCCTGGGCAGCCTATTCATGTGTAATACAGCTCTGATTTCTCTGCAATACCTAGTTCTCTCAAAATGAGCTGGCTGGGCAGAAATGTTAAAGACATGTAAAGCAACCCGATAATACAACACAAGCAGGGTGACCTGTGCCAGAGGAGGGGCAGTGCCCGCGGTGTTGTAACTTTCAATTTCCCAAGCCTCGGCATCAAAGGAAGCCACTGCGGCCCTTTGTGATGAACCGGCAGCTCTGTTCACCTCTTAATACCTTCCCCCAGGATAGGAAGTGGAAATTAAAAAGTCATATTTTCTTTTCTTTTTTTTTCCCACGCCAAGTTGACTAAGTTTTTCTAAATTAAAGTGGACTCCAGACAAGTAAAGGTCAGCCCAGCCTTTGCACTTTCTTCATTAACATCACATCAGCATCTAGCTGTCTCTGCTCCCAGCCCTTTCCCCAAGTCAGGATGCTCAGAGATCCCATCAGCATGGGCCAGTGGAGCGGAGAATGCAGATATTCCACAGCAGAGGCAAGAGGCAATTATTATTTAGTTTATAATACCTATTATAAAGTATAATATATAACAGCATTGCACATATAATTGTCTCTGGTTTTAATACTATACTATTAACTCTAGAAATAATGGCTTTTTCTCCACAAAACAGTAAGACAATTGTGTTGTACGTTTCTGCTTATTCAGGGGTTTTTGTTTCTCCAGACACAGAAGTGTCATCCAACAGCTCCTATGATGTGATATAGCTCTTCCCTCTTAGCTAAGCCTCCTTTTATGGTCCAGAATGTATATATAGAGTTAGACTCTCTAGGGACATTGAATATATTTCTGTTAATAAATATAGTCAGAAGTAAAAGGGAAAGAAGACATTAGTAGAGCAATTAGGGGACAATTAAAACAACAAGAAAAACGTAACAATGAAGCATGCTTCAGAAGCAGTATTTGGATCTGGTTTACATCAAGAATACAGTGGGAACTGATTAAATGTTTAAGAATGAATAGAATGTGGCAACTAATTGGATGAGCAAGAGGTTAATTCTGAAATTTACACAAAATTTAGAATAGGAGATACAAGGGAAAGTTGGTGAATCCATAAATTCATTTTAAATTGTAATACTGCAAACAAACAAATATTAAGTATGATTTGCTGTAATTACATCTGTGAATATGTAGAAATTTAACCTTTGTTTTAGGACCACCATATAAGTACTTTTTAAAACTTGTACTTTTTATATTAAGACAATTGTAGATTCATAGCCGTTGTAAGAAATAAGGAAAAGATCCCCTGTACCTAATTGTCTGAAGGGTAATCTTTGTAAAACTCTGTATCACAAGAAGAATATAGACATCAATACAGCTTAGATTCACAACTGTTACATCACAAGAATCCCTCATTTTCTCTCTGATAGCCACAACCAATTTACTTCAAATATTTCTTATGCATAACTTTTTACGTAAACGTCTGTTTTTATTTTTTTGGAAGTAACATCTAAGTCTGTAGTAGCATGGTAAATGGATGTTTAATTTCATAAGAGGTGGATAAATTATTTTTGAGGGTGGCTAGACCATTTTACATTCCCGTCTACGATCTATGAATGATGCCGTTTCTCTACATTCTAGCTGGTATTTAGGATTGCCAATTTATTTTAGTATTTTTTTCTTTTTGACAGTTTATTTTAAATCTTTTCCATTCAAGTACATCTGAATGACATCTCACTATGGTTATAATTTTTATTTCCCTGGCAGCCAATGATGAGTGATGTCAAACATCTTCTCATGCACTTATGTGCCATCTATGTTTACACCTACATTAGGGAAATGCCTTTTTATATCTTTTTTTTTTTTTTGAAACAGAGCCTCAAGCTGTCCCCCTGGGTAGAGTGCTGTGGCATCACAGCTCACAGCAACCTCCAACTACTGGGCTCAAGCAAGTCTCCTGCCTCAGCCTCCCAAGTACCTGGGACTGCAGGCGCCCACTACAATACCCGGCTATTTTTTGATTGCAGCCGTCATTGTTGTTTTGGCGGGCCCAGGCTGGATTCGAACCTGCCACCTTAGGTGTATGTGGCTGGCGCCTTAGCCACTTGAGCCACAGGTGCCGAGCCTATGTCTTTTGCCCATAGTCTAATTAGACTGATTTTTTTTTTCACAGTTGAGTCTTTAGTGGTCTTTATATATGCTTATGGTACTCTGTTGGCTGGGTGATTTTCCAGCATTTTCTTCCAAGCCATAGTGTATCTTTACATCTTTTTCCT